TAAGGAATAAGAGAATATTTATGGATAAGAACGTACTTCATTTCAAAAACCAAGTGAGCAATAATACGACTGCCCGAAGCAGCTAACGGGTGTCCAACAGCGATGGCGCCTCCATTAATGTTAGTTTTGTTCGGGTCCAAATTCAGTTCCTTCTCAACCGCAAGATATTGCGCAGAGAACGCTTCGTTAACCTGTAAACGAGACAAGTTAGCAGCAATAAAGGGCGAATGATTGCCGTACCTCAATCAGATCTATTTTGTCCAGCTCCATCTTGGTCTTTTTCAAGAGTCCGCGGATGGCGTGAACCGGTCCAATACCCATAATGGACGGGTCGCATCCACACACGAACCAGTCAACCAAGCGAGTGAGAGGAGTCAGGCGATGTTCTTTGATGGCGGGTTCCGTTGCCAGCACTATACTGCCGGCGCCGTCGTTGATGCCTGAAGCAGTGCCTGCCGTTACCAGCCCATCCTTCTTGAACAAGGGTTTTAATTTGGCCAATTGCTCCAAGCTCGTTTCACGAGGGTGTTCGTCAATAGCGAACATTTCTTCCCCTTTCTTTCCACGAACCTTCACGGGGACGATTTCCTGGTGAAAGGCGCCCTGGTTTTGAGCTGAAATTATGTTACATTTACAACGATTACTTTAAAATGTACATTCGCAGGCAGGGGCGTATTAATTGGCGTATAACAGTACTAAGGCCAGATGTCAAGTTATGGCACCACTAGTTGCCCATGGGGCCATTTAATTAGACAATGGCTCCATATTCTTTGAGATGAGTATGACGTTGCCGTGGTGAAAAAATTTATTGCGAGATGCATTTCGTGTTACAGTTGTTCAAATGCTCTGAACATTGCTTAAACGGTACCCTAGGCAAACCAAATGAGCAGGTGAGAGTCAAGGCATCGTGAAATCTGGTCTGTATGAGTTATTTAACAATTTTCATTATTCTGTTTACCGAAATTTGCAGATTTGTACTCTAAATTTAATATTTGATGAGTGTAATTATTATTCATAAATTATTTCTAACATTCTATTGTATCTTCTACAATAAATGTCGTGCTTCGTTAGTTTAAGACACAAAACGCTTCGATATTAAAGCCTATTAGAAGTGACCGACGTTTCACTCTGTCAACATTGCCATCCTCAAACAATGTTGTCAGAATGAAACTTCGATAGTTTTAATATAGACTTTAACATCCGCCCATTGTTTCCATCCAGAACCAATTACTTTTATTACACTGCTTATAAAACATCATTTAAACCAAACCTAACTCCAGGATTTACAGCGAATCGCAGAACCCTTCGCTACTGTATGTCTGAGGAATAGGACTTAAGCAGGCCACGTCCCATAGTATTTGAGCGTATGCACTGCCAGGTGCATCGCACGTCATTTTGTTCGCTATAGCCACCCCAAACTCATCGATCGCGAACGGCATTTCAGGAGCTAATTCTTATTTACGACCTTATGAGCATCCAAATATTTTTTGAACCTCAGTCGTTTAAACCTCAGTGTTAGAAGGTGAAAGTTAAACATTGAAACTATTGTAACAGTGATGCAGCAATATATCTATTCTCTTTTGGTTTCCAAAAAACGGATAACTACGCTGAACTATGTCAATAGGCCCATAAATGTGTGTCCAACCGCATATCCCGGCGTTTCGCATTAGCTCCTGGATTCCTGATGCCACAAGAATCATTTAAAACTATTTGAGTACGTGATGAAGCTGGTTTCGCTTTACCAGCAAAGTCAGTACCTTATAAAGAGATCTGCTCACGAAACAACTTTTGGGTTACAACAGGGGGTTGATATAGCAATAAAATTATGAGATGCATCTACGTATTTCAAGTTCTCAAAACTTTGAGAGCTGTTCCCCTAAAATGGCGGCTTGAACATCTAGAAGCAAACTTTCAGTGCGGTGCGCTGTGAAACTCTCAATGGAAGAATTATAAGCGTATGGCTGCTAGCTTTTTGCCTGGATTTGGTTATCAGAAACTGCCGTACAGAACATATCGTTACTGGATTGAAACTGCTTCAAAAGATTTCGGATTTAAGAAAGTCTAGCGATCCAGTAACGATCGCAATCGTTGATAAATCCCCTTTTCAGGAGTAAAGATCATCCTTCGCGGCGAACGCGGCAGCTTAACATTACACATTGCATTGCTGTGTATGTCACTGTCATGTAATCCTTTACTACAATGGTTGCTGGTCACCCCAACGAGTCTGCTGAAGCAGGGTTTCTGAAGATCGAAGAAAAACGTGATGAATTATGATATATATAGTATTTCGCTCATGCGTTGGTAGTCGTACCGATAACAGGCCCTCCGGGACTGTGCAGCATGCGGCACAGGAAGGAAATGCCACGTGTCCCTGGCATCATCGAAGAATGACACTGGTTCAACAGGTGCGTCAATTAGCCATTACACGTGCATTAGTATACCTGGCATAGGGAAGCTTATTTACTGGTGTCTATGATCGATTTGATAATCATATTGTCTGACTTACGACGCTCTGTAATGGATGTTCGCGTTAAGAGAGGCGCAAAGCTGTCAATCGATCATCATCCTGTCATTAGCTCGCAACGCTGTAAGAAATGGAGTATCATGCAAGCGCATGACTGAGTGCCTCCTAAGTTAGCTTATGATAAATAGACGTAAATGACATTAACTTGAAAGTAAGCGAAATTACCTCAGATCTTAAAATTAGAAGTTAGAAACTGGATTATAAAAAATTCTTTTCGTTTATTCATTATGGTAGAAAAAATTAATAATCCGAAATCGATTGTAAGTTACCGAGATGAAAGCGAGTTTGAGACCTAAGAGCAAAGTTGTCGCAGTCAGACCGCGAAATGTTATACTTTGCACCAAGGTTTTCGGCCGTGAGCGCCATCGATAGTTGAGGATAGCTGTCAGTGAGACCTTGGAAAAGCGTATCTTCAAACTGAAAACGAAAACACGTTACTAACCACAATGCAGAATGTCAGCAAATTTTCTAATAATAAATTCTACAACAGAGCGGTATGAAAGGACCGAGATTCTGACGGCCTTCAGTTTCCTACATCTCCAGTGGAATTCCACCTCAGTTTGTTCCTGAGCCTTCGAACGTAACAATTCGAAACAGCTTGGCGCTGCAGAATTCATCGAAATTTATGATTTAAAGTGCAATTAATAATTGAAGTTCGCATAAATTACAGGCAAGGCTGTGGTACCGAGGGAACAAAATTTGACTCACCAATCAGTCTTTTTCAGTAGAGGATCTGAAGAGGTCTGACAGATTAGTTGGAATCCTTTCGCACTACTGTCATGTCTGCAGAAATGACAAACAGACACTTATTGCTAGAATGTAATGATTGCCACACTTGCCAACGGCAAGCTATTTCGAACTTTTAGCCTGCAAACGGTATTTGCAAGAAAGTTTAAAATTTTGAATGACGATAATGATTTGCATGTTACTTTGCTGTTACAGTATCTGTTTGCCTGTTAAGGTTATCTTTCTGAGCCGTTTACATTAGCAGAACGTCTCTGGCTTGTGAGGTCTGCTGTGTTTATAGTATTTATTTAAAACCCTTTGCTCTGCGACACTGGTTACTGTATCGTAGAAAGCAAATCTACGTCTATCTTGTACCTCCAGGTTTCACACTGGCCTACAGCTCGATATCTGTTGTATTTCAGTTCCCTTAAAAGAAACTCATGTGCTGGAGTGAATAGTTTTTGATCAACATGTTTGACTAACCGGGACAGCATCCATTTCTTAATCTCCTCTCCACATCTGCTGAGGTCAGCTGTGCCCGCAACAGTATAGAATTATCGCTTAGGTGGTATTGTCATTTAACCCTCACTATGCGTTGAAGCCACTATTGCTGTACATAGTTCTGCCATTGATATTCCTCCGTTGTAACACCTCTTTATGCCGTACAATGCAGTAGCTTGACGGATGCACGCTAAGGGCGGAATTTTTTGGAAAAAAATTACTTCTTTCTCAGTTCAAATATTAAACAGGTTTCCAAAAGCGCTCGACGCTAAATCGATCCGCCTCTCAACTCTGGCTGGATGGCGCTGAAGATGATGAAGCCAAAATACTTAAATTGGAGAAGCTCGTGAAGGGCTTAATGTCTCTGTTTTACTAGTAGATCAGCTTTACCGGATGGACGGTACTAGCAGAACACAGGGCAGGAAGGCTGCATCAGCTGGAAGTGAAAAATGAAAGCTCAATCGCTAATAACAAAATACACAACGACTACTAATCGAGGAAATTTTCGTTCTGATGTAAACGTACCTCATACACTTGGCCAAATTTTGTACCGAAGCGCACATCTCGAACCACGAAAGGAGCCTGACTCATGCATTCAGTGCCACCAGCGAGGGCGATATGTGCTTCACCCAAAAGAAGCTCCTGAAATATAATGGGAATTTTAATTTTCAAAAAAATATGAAACAAAAATTGCTAACCCAATAATTAAGAAATATTAATTAATATTCACATATTGGACGTTTCGGCAGAAGAATTTAGCTGTAAAGAAAGCGTCAAACTGAAATTCATGTCCTTGGGCATTTATTCATATTTGCGTATAGACGTGCGACTTGTCGATAAATACACACTGCGTTCTGATGCATGCAGCTGCGTTCTTTCGGCAAATCGGTCGGCCATCAATACGTAAGAACTCTCGAAGATTGAATCCATTGTTTGAAGATTTTATGATTTAAGAGTATTGGTGGGGAGGGGGGTATTTCACTAATAATTTCAGATTCATAATATTAATTAAAAGGTACACTGCGGTTTCGACTTTTCTCGAACACGCAGTTACACTGCTACATACTCTACTAAGGAACTCTCCATACTATTAGGCAGCAGAAAATTCGTAAAGCTTATAAAAACTTCAAGATAATGCCTGCATGATAACCTGAGTATCGATCTGCAAAACTGGATTGTGTTGCAACGTGACATGAATGTCTGTTCATGAAAACGAATGAAAAATTTTTTTTTAGAAACGACATAAAACTGACGGTTATTAAGAAATTATCATATTTTAAAGCGAACTAGGGGTATGTCACATATCGGTACTGTCCTGCATAACAACGACAGAAAATACGTATATTACTTCAGAACCGTTTAAATGTCAGCCATCGGTCATTAGCAGCATGGTCAAACTTACATGAGCCGCGTTGACCACGGACTGAAAGCCGGAGCCGCACAAACGGTTGACGGTTAAGCATGGCACATGCTGGGGCAACCCTGACCGCAGAGCTACGTGGCGAGCCAGATAGGCGGCATCCTTTGATGACTGAATTACGTTTCCAAAGATGACCGTGTCGACGTGTCTTGGGTCAATTCCGGCTGCTTTTATGGCAGCTTGTGCAGCTATGACCCCCAGATCGGTGGCGGTGAAATTTTTTAGCTTTCCTCCAAGCACACCGAAAGGGGTACGTTTGGCACCAACGATGAATATGCCTGAACATTAACTTCAAAATCATTTCATCACCAACTTTGTCTTACCTTTGCTTAAAGCCATAGTTTCTCCAAGTGTTACAAATCTTTTCCTACAAAATAAGCACCACTTGAAATTAACGTTGTTTCCTGAACTGGATATACAGACTAGTTATAATAAAGTACATCTACGGACGCCTATTTTAAATCTATCACTTTAAAGTAACCGACCGGCAAATTGGAATGGCGAACGACATCCTACGCGAACTTGCCTGAACCGTTGTGGCTAAAGCAAATGTGAAAATGTGAGTCTGGAGTCTAAGCTATCTTTTTTTAAGTCGATCTTTATCCCGATGCTCATCTGCAGTTATAGCGGCTAAAATGAGCCTTCTGAGACAAATCGCTGGGCTCACGTGTCGTAACATAATCTGAAGTACAGGCATCTGAAAGAGCATTGGTGTTCCGCGGATTCTCCAGATCAAGAGATCACTCCTGCAATGATTTGAGTATTTGTTCAGAACGCTTCCAGAAAGAAAAACGAAACAGCTGCTACTTGCTAAACGACCGGTCCAAGACCCCGGCTAATTGATTGACTATTACATCGTTATTTCAATAACAAAACATATACGATAGAACATTCACTGTGCAGGAGACCAAACTGTTGCTTGATCGACTATGGCTGAGCATCAAAACTCGAAACCCAACGGAATCCTTTGCGTCTAGGTTTCTGGATGCATGTATGATCTGGTTACCAACAAGGGAGGTGAGAATAACAAGAACAGGGTGCAGTGCACAAGTTATGCAAATCTATAGGTACCTCCTGAGAAACAAACGCAATTGCTGTTGTGCGTTACTAGACTTGCCTTTACATATTCTACCATTATTACTCTCTAAATTTGCGATGAACTTTCATACAGAAGCAGCTCAATGAGGCAAGGCGAGTCGTGACAAATATTTCTAATTTCAGCATCAAAGCTGGCACAATTTGGATCTCCATGCCACCAGAAATAAACCATATCTTGATCACAGTCGCTGCGAATTCTTCATGCCCTAACCGTAAGGTCTTCCAACCACCAACTGTGCGACGGCAGATTCTAAGCGCTTTACTGATGGAAGAAACAGTTGTTTCGGAGCGGTCTTGACGAATGGTAGCGAGGAGATTGAGGCAGCACAATCGTACGCAACAAAAAATTCTTTTCAACTGGCGTAGAAAACTGCTATCTGCGAACGACCAAGAAAAACCGAATTCAGACAGCAGGAGGCCACTGCCGTCATTCACTCAATCGTTTAGAAAATGACCCCAACCAACAATATAACATTTTCATGAAAAACAACAGACTTTGCATCGCATTTCTTTTGAATGGTCATACTTGGACAGGGTTGAAAACCTAACCATGTACCATATCGGACTTAGAAATTTCAGCTAACTCAGAAATATGACCAGTTGCTATAAAATCGAGGAAGTCAAATGTGTAGTTTTAAACTGTCTTAGAGGCACTCTTCCTGTAGTACTTGACCACGTAGGCTTTCCTTTTAAGGCGTTATTCACCCAAAGAAGAGAAATAACACAGAAGATTAACGGCCTGATAGTTTTGGACTAATACACGGCAGGATAATGCGGCTGGATATGAATGGTATTATTAAAGTGCACTCCTGACGGAAATTCAATCCACGGATTTCACTATTTGTACTATAACATATCAGTGATACCTTTCTGAATAATACGAATGGGAGAAGAACAAAGACAAGATTTAAATAAATAAGAAGACGTTAGAAAATTGAGAAAACATATTTAATAAGTGAAGGTTTCGTATTTCTGCTGATCATAGCATTGAATAGGCAGCTATCAGGCAGGCCAAGGCAAATTGCGCCTCACCTTGGACAGCATGGCTGTATCTCTCGCCTGTTCTCGTACGATCATATCGAAGCACCATGCTGTCCCGCTTTTTGGTTGGAAACACGAAGCACATGAGGCAAACTTCTTACACTCGATACAGACAAAAGTCATCCCTTTTCCGGATTCGAAATCGGTACTTTCAGAGTTCAAAGTTGATCGCTGACCAATAAGCCACCGCGTTCCAAGACAAGGCACTGTACTTATTTGCTTCACAACAAATCTCTCATCAGAACATGGCCGTTGATCACAAAAACATTACTTACCAAATGACATAACCAATGATAAAAAGCTGTCTATTGCAAGCCGAAAGAAACCAATCGAGTTACTTTACTTCATTATATTCGTAATATTAATCGTTGCTGGAAATAGAGGCTTTCTATCTTCTGTCAGAATTTAGTCATGGTTGTGCAGGCGAGCGATCGCCGAGTTGTGACAAGCTTTTGGACTTTCGTTAATTTGTTTTACACTGGTCAATATGCGTATATTTAGTGAATTATAACCTATGCAAAGGGAGTTGAATAAAAGGCCTCAAGTCATGTACTACAATCTTTCACTTCTCCGTTGTATTCGCTTTAGCGAAGGAGTCCGCTGAACGACGAAATTTCAACACATATTATGATCCCAGCTTCTTCGTGCAGTTTCATGCGACTCTTACATCTCGCCACGTTTCCTCTAGCCCTCCTCTCTGCTTTGTTATCATAACGGTTTTTGTGTCAAGACCACATTAGCTATATCTTCCTCAGGTGTTTTTTTTTCACGTGATCAAGCTAAGTTTACGCTCGGTCATTTTCTTTTAACGGAAAGACATTTGATGTGTCGTTCGTGAACATATTCCGGAAGTAATCTTTCTTGCCAATGCCAATTATCCACCTGAGCATTCGCATTTTTCCTGGATTCAATGGCTTCGAGAACCTTGTTAAAGGAGCTAATGTTCGGTTGCAAATTGCAGTACTGATAAAAAGGCATACTACTGCTATAAAACTGTTTATAATTTCAAGCTGAACCGTTGCTCATTTAAATTTGTATGAAACAAATCAGTTATCAAAAATTTCTTAACTTTTTTCAAAGCTTTATGACATTAAAAAATACATTTAGACATTCACTGGGGAATGAGTCGTTCAAAAATTATTGAAAGACGAGTCTATGGCTTCTTTTTCAGAGACAAACTGTTAATATCAACAGTTATAGTCATACGGAGAGAACTGATGCCTTAAGACTATATTTTTGCAGCTAACGTTCTCTTCCAAACAGCACTGCAGTCGTGCATATTAATATAGATATGATCCAGCATCTGTCCTAATTTGAGTAAATCAAGTTAGTATTTATCATTCTAATAGCATTGTTCAAATCCTTGCTCACAAAGGGTCAGTTGAAATGGCGTTCAGGTACACGTACTAGAATTAACTTCACTACGTGCCTGACCTGACAAATGTTTATCTGAGACATAAAAGATCTGGGTTACTCTGCTCTTCAACTTGTGTTAGCCTTGAATCGCAATGACACAACAACAACAGTATAACTTTAGACAGTTTCAACTGCATTTTACGAACTTAATGTTTCCAATTGGGTGGGGTGGAGGAGGAGGATGGGAAGGAGGTGGAAAAATACGTACTTTCTAACAGTTTTCGTAAACTTTTATAACAAAGGATAAAGTAAATAAATAAATAAATAAAGTGTAAAACCAAAC